ACAGCCAACTTGTTGAGGGCTGTTGTCCAACAGAGGTAGTAACCTCGATGACAAGCCAAGTTGACTTGCTGTTTGTATTGATCACGGATGGCGGCCTGTCCCTTTTCGAAGGCTTTTTCGTCAGCCGCTTTTACCTCGGCCTCCTTAGTGTCAAGGGCCTCCTGAAGCTTGGCCTCCATGTCAGCTGCCTTGGCCTTGGCAGCTTCAAGGTCGGCTCTTGCTTCCTCGGCTTCGTCATTGGCTGTTTTGGCCTTTTCCTCAGCCAGACATTGAACAGCTTTGGCTCCTTGGCCTGGTCCATTAGAGCGCGATTACTGGCCTCGGTCTTGTTAAGTGAAGAGAGGAATTTGGCTGCTTCTTTGGTCTTTTTCGCTAACTCTTTCCTCATCATCTCGGTTTTTACAACATACGAATGGGCATGCTAAATAGCCTGCAAAAAGTAAAACAGATTAGTAAGATTTTTTCTAAGTGTAGAAAGAACTATGAAGAGATGAGTATAAGAGGATTACCAAAACCGAGTGTTGCATCATGAGAGCAAAATTCTCATACTCATGCAACTCGGCCATGCAGTTCATGTCTTCAAGCAGAAGAACTGTCGTGGATAGGGCTGCGCTGACCTCTTACTGTCATCGGCAGTAAGAGGTCTGTCGTCAAGCATGATCTCGGGCGGCCAGGTCATGCTTTGGGAGTAGCTACTGCCTTCTTGGTAGTCGAACCTCGACTTTTTGGCCGATGGGGCATCGGATGCTGGGGCCTTGGCTAGACGTTTTTCAGCGAGAGGGGCACTCTTCTCGACCTCGGCTAGTTTTGAGATAGGCATAGTGTCCTTAGAATCGATCTGAGTCACTGTGGCCTTTGCTTTGGCCTTCTTCATTCGTTTTGGCTTTGGATTTGGTTGGGAATGAGAGGATGAGGATTGAACTGTCACCACCTCGGGGATATTAACGAGCAGGTCTTCAATAAATGCTGGTTTGTGCCCCATCTCTTTAGTAGTGGCGGCTACAGTTACTTTGGTGCCAAGGTAGATAGCTTTAAGTGCAATATGTGGGTTTATTGGGTCGTAGGCCGATGACTCAGAAAGTCGGCGTTTTCGGCTATGTGTTCTATCGACAAGGGCAGAAATTGGAACTCGGCGTCAGCGTTGGTGTTGGGCAAGAGGAATCAATTGTGGAGCAGATGTTGATGGTTGCTTCGCTGGATCGAAGGTTGAGGCTTGGTCAGTCCGTGGTGATGCAGTGTCAGGGGGAGTTGTTGCTGAAGGTGGAGATTTGTTTTTCTTGGGGACATTGGGCAAGGCGAATTTGTACGTTGGAATGTAGTTGAGCAGCAGAGGGGCTTTGCGCTGATCAACTGGCAAGCCCAGCAGTTTCTTAAAGTCCTTGCTGGGGTAGAAGGTTTTGCGGAAGTCTTTTGGTGGCTGAGGAAGAGCTGCAAGTACAAAAATCAGACATTAGAACATATAAAGGAATATAGTAATAAAGACTTAAAAACATGTAAAATAACACTTGGTTTTTACCATTACCCTCTTTAAACACTATTCGACTATAAGGATAGAGGTGGAGGTCGTCATCAGGTGAGAACTCCCAGTTGTCCGAGACAATGAAATAATCATCTCCAGCACCTTTGTTGGAGCCTGGGAGGTCGGCTATGAGTTTGTACTCAGTGGATCTCGGCTTGAGGTAATAGACATAGCCTTTTTCGGATTTCAGGCCACACATAGTATAACAGTATTGGATGTTGGCTAGTATTATCCTAACGTTTTCTCGGCTAGCTAGGGCAATTATACCGTCAATGACTTTATAAGAGTTAATAGCCAGCTGCATTGGGTTAAGTTTGTAATAATGAAGGACTTGTCAAAAAAGGATATTAAAGGGAAACCTAAGTCTACACTCTATGAAGGCCACAATGGGGAAAGGCATAGAGTCCCCATCAGGCATGATGGATTTGGTGTGGGTTTGAAGACCTCGGCTAAATCCTAGAGAGCATTGGAGTAAAGGTTTCTGAGAATCTAAGGGGGTTTTGGTTCGGTTTTCCTAAAGAACAGAGTTCTAGATCAAATCCCAAACCTAAATCTACGCAGATACAGGAATCAAAGGCAATAATCTGGAAATAAAGCAAGAAAAACAGAAAAGAACAATGGTTCAGACTCAAGAAAGCAAAAAGAAATTCAAGAACATTGAATAAAGTGTGTGCAGACGTGCAAAAGCCAAGGAGAGTGGCGAATTACAAAAGCAAATGTATGAGCAGTATGTGCGTGTATATGTAGACCCAAATACAGGTTTGACAAACATGAAATTGCAAGCAAACATGCTCAACACGCGAATGATAAAGTTTAAAACATAAGCAAAGATTGAAGAACGCGAATGGATTCACAATGGCAACACACAAATGCAACAGAGTTTGAAATAAATCAAGAATTGAAAAGAGGGAAAATAGTGACTTACCAAGAAGAATGATGCTGAATGAATATCGCCAGAGTCAGATGATGTGAGTGGTCTCAAATGGACGGTGAAAAATTCGCCGAAGGAGGTGGTCGATGCAAGTTGTAGAAAGCTTTGAAAGAGCGAAATGTAGGTTTTTTGCACAGAAAGAAAATTTTGGAGGGAGTGGAGAGATGCAAAGGGAAGAGACGGAGAGAGAAGGATATTTAGTTAAAACATGAAAAGGGCGGCAAATTATAATAATGTGCCTTGGACGACGTGTTTGTCAAGTGGTGTACGCAGATATAACGCGACCTGATGGCGCGTGTCGAGTACGATTCAATGAGAAAAGGACGCGTGGATAAAACGGTTAGGAAAACCGTGCGTGATAGCTCATGCGCAGATAGAACTCTTGGAGTTCTTGGTTTAATGTGGGCGAGAACCTCGGCTAGAGGGACGATCTCGGTTAAGGAAGTTAAAAAATTTGGTCCTTGGTTCTTGGTCATTAATAAAGTAGACTGTAGAGTCTTAGTTATGAGAAGCCGATATGTGGTGATTTCAGTAATGAATGATGGAGTAAGTCCTAGCTGATGTGTTATACGGACAGCAATATAGGTTACATCACCTCAGGATGCCGAGGTAATAAAACCTAAGGGGTAGCTGTGGGGACATATTTTTGTGAATGACAACACGTAGCCAAGACAACACTGAAGTGCCAGCCGAGGTGCCACGTGTCTTGGTCATGGCACCGAGGTTATCTCGGCTAGGTCGAGGTTATCTGCTGAGATACCGGAATCCAAGATAAACGGATAAAGGATAAGAGTCCTAAAGTGGGGGAGGACCTCAATCTGGATAAAGATAAAACTCTTGGGGAGTGTATCTCTATCTGGCTGAGAGTCCAAGATGAGCATTGAGCCGAAGTCCATTGAAACTAGACTTCTACAGGGATTAGGTTAGTGCTGGCTATAAAAGTAAGGCACCCTCGTGGGTCTGAGGTACGCTTTTTGTATTATGGCTAGTGAGTTAAGTACTGCTTACTATTTTTGAGAGATAATTGAATACTGACTTGATCGTTGGAGTACCCCTGAGTGGACGAACCACCGCCAGAGTCTTATCTTTCTGTGACAGGTTGTTCGGGTAAAATCTATTTTGCCGGTGCTCTCTAGCTGAGTACCTGTTTGGCAGTGTGGTCAGAAATCAGCACACACACAAAATAATCCTAAACAAGAATGAATGCAAAGGAAGTAGAGGTTGGGTGAGAGTGTAAAGGTAGAGGTAGATGAATGAGAATGCGAAAGTGTGAGTTATTAGGGAAGGGTAACGACATGATTGGGCAAATATGGTATTTGGCACTGTTTGGGGCAAAAATGGTATTTGACACCACGCAAACTCAAGTAATTCTATTTCCACACATTAATTCCACTCAATTCACAAACTTAATGAAAATTTTCATTAATACAATTTTGTCCTAAAATAAAAATACCATAATACCCTCATCTTCTTCTACCCAAACCCTATTTCTAAAACGCCACAACCATCCTCTATCGCCAGCACCACCTCTCTTATCCACCATCCCCTCCCGTTGCCTCTTTTTTTATCCTCTTGCGATCACTTTCTGCCATGAATCATACACTTCCACAAGTCTCTCACCACGAATTACTCAATGTTGACTGTGAAGGTTTAAAATGGAGGGAAATGAGTTAGAAGTGGCGATGGTGGTGGTGATTGAAGATTGAAAGTGGCGTCAACGACTATAGATGATGAGTGGATGAATGAAAAAAAAAAGGATTCTGTTTATAAGTATATTGTTAAAATATGTCTTCACAAAAAAAAAAAAAAAAAAAAAAAAATTCTTATTTCAATATGGTTCGATCTTTTTAGGGGCAAAAAAAATTAAAAATTAAAAAATATTTTTTTAATATTTATTTTTATCAAATTAATTTATATTTTTCCCATAAAAAATTTATTCAAAAATTGAAACCAAATATAATCTAAGAGTTTTAAGTTTAAAAATAAGAGTAATATAAAAATATAAATATATATATACTGAAATATAGAGATATTTATTAAGAATTTATATATTTATAAGGTATGTATAAAAAAAATATTCATTAAGGGCTTGTTTAAGATGTCCTAAATAAGTGTATTTTTGACTTTTTAGACTAAAAAATTGAAGAAAAAAATATGGTTATTTGAGTTAACTTTTTGACTTTTTATAGAAAAAATGTGTATTAAAAAATTGTATAAATTAGTGTGTAGGGGAAAATTATAATTGGGAGTTGTGTAACCGTAATTTTTGACTTTTGATAAATAGTGATAACTTTTTACGAAAATATTTAAGATCCTTTTTTTTTTCACCCCCTTTGACCCCCTCCCTCTCTCTCTCTCATTGGTTGATTTTTTTATTTTTTTTTTCTCTTGTCCTCCAATCATCACTTGCCACATGTGTGTGGGGTGGTGAGGGTGATGATTGGAAGGGATCTCCATCAATTCTCAACTTTTTAACTTTTTAAATAATTTTTTGATTTTTTTTTTGACAACTTGTCAAACTTGGCTAAGGATGCGTGTGGATAGAAATTAATGTGAAAATAGAATTACTCCGCAAACTCTCACGCACTATTCTCTTAGTGCGAATTACACGTACTGTCACAGAAGACACAACAGCGAAGAGAGGACGCCGTTTCTCGACGAGGCGAGGCGAGGCGAGGCGAGGCGAGGCGTAGCCGTATAGGTCGATATACAGACTCTCTCTCTCTCTCTGCCTCTTTGTATGTGTTCGTTGACAAAATCGAGTCTATAGAATACCTATGATTATATATTGTCTGGTGATTATATTTTGTATAATGAGAATATTTTAAATATGTCATTAGAATAATATCACATAATTCATCAAATACATAAATGTATATTATGCTGTATCTAATTTTTCTCATACTAATGAGAAAAATAATTAAGGGAAGTAAAAAATTATAGTACATATAGCGAAAGGTGTATATTTTATGTCCTTTTGTAACTAAGATTTAGGGTTGGCTTCTGACCTGGTGGTGGCCAATACTATATATAAGAAGAGGGAGGAGCATTTGATAACCTTTAAAAGTGGGTCAGTTAAGAGCCAGATAGATTACTTCTTAGTGAGAAAAGTAGACCGCCTAAAATACAATGATTGTAAGGTGATTCTTGGAGAGAACCTGACCTCTCAACATAGGATTTTGGTAATAGATTTATGTTTTAGAGAGTAATACCAAGCTAGAAAGGATGGTGGGTGTTGTAGGACAAGATGGTGGGACCTAAAAAGGAATAAATTAGAAATATTTAAGAATGGATAAGAAAGGTACTTGAGATTTGGAAGATGATGCTAACACTATGTGGAACTGGATGGTCGATTGTATGAGGAGAATCTCAAGGGAAGTGCTTGGAGAGTCGAAAGGAACGAGACTCAGCTCTAGGGAAACTTGATGGTGGAGGGAAGATGTTCAAGCGGTAGTTAAGGCAAAAAAAGAGTGCTTTAAAAAGTGGCAAAATGATAGAACTGAGGAAAACCTTAAGAGCTATAAATTGGCTAATAAGGAGGTGAAAAAAGTAGTGAGAGAGGCTAAGTTGAAAGCTTTTGATGACCTATATACTAGACTAGATAGTAAGGAGGGAGAGAAGAGGGTATACAAACTTGCTAAGATACAGGAGAGGAAAACAAGAGATTTTAATCAAGTTAAGTGCATCAAGAGTGAGGATTCTAAGGTATTGGTGAGAGATGAAGAGCTTAAGGAAAGATGAAGGAACTATTTTGAGAAATTATTAAATGAGGAACATGGAGGTACGGCAATAGGGGAAAAAATAGCTAGTAATACGATAAATCAAGACTATAAGCTCTATCGCAGGATTAGAAATTTTGAAGTAGAGATTGCACTTAAGAAGATGAAATCGAATAACGCTTTAGGACCAGATGATATCTCTATTGAAGCTTGGAAGTGTTTGGAAAAAAAGGGGTTGCTTGGTTGACTAGATTGTTTAGCAAAATTTTGTTGACTAGGAACATGCCAAATGAGTGGAGGAAGAGTATTTTAGTGTCAATCTATAAAAATAAAGGAGATGTACAGAATTGCAACAACTATAGAGGAATCAAACTAATGTGTCATATAATGAAAGTGTGGCAAAGGGTGATAGAACGCCAATTGCGAGATATAACAGAGGTGTTAGAGAATCAATTTAGGTTTATGCCTGGCAGGTCAACAATGGAAGCAATCTATTTTTTGAGGAGAGTAATAGAAAAGTATAGAGAAAAGAAAAGAGACATTCATATGGTATTTATCGACCTTGAGAAAACATATGATAGAGTGCCCCGGGATATAATATAGCGGGTGTTAGCGAAGAAAGGGGTGACAAAAGGTTATATTGATGTGATTAGGGACATGTATGAAGGGGTGGTGACCACTATTAGATCGTCTGCTGGAAAGATAAATGAATTTCCTATCACTGTAGGGCTACACCAAAGATTTACCTTAAATCCTTATCCTTTTGCTCTAGTTATGGATGAGTTGACGAGAAATATCCAGGATGACATGTCATGGTGTATGCTTTTTGCAGACGATATAATGCCAGTGGATGAGACTAAAGAAAGAGTTAATACAAAGTTGGTGATTTGGAGAAAAGTTCTTGAATCTAAAGGATTCCAGATAAACAGAACTAAGACAGAGTATATGGAATGTAAATTTAGTAACAGTAACAATGAAAACAGAGGAGAAGTGAAGATTGAGAATCAAGAACTGCCTAAGAGTGAGTATTTTCGTTATTTAGGATCGATTATCACAATAGCAGAGGAGATTGATGCGGATGTGGCCCATAAGATTAAGGTGAGATGGTGCAAGTGGAGAAGTGTGTCTGGGGTACTGTGCAATAAACGAATACCTACTAGACTTAAATGTAAGTTCTATAGAACGGCTATTAGACTAGCGATGTTGTATGGGACGGAGTGTTGGGCAACCAAGAAACAACATGTAGATAAGATGAGTATGGCTGGGATGAGAATGCTAAGGTGGATGTGTGGCAAGACTAGACAAGACAGAATTAGGAATGAATGTATTCGGGAATGGGTAGGAGTAGCACCGATAGAAGATAAGCTGAGAGAGAATCGATTGAGATGGTGTGGTCATATTCAACGGAGATCAACAGAGGCAGTAGTGAAGAGATGCGATACTGTAACGGTAGATGGAAGTGTTAGGGGATGAGGTAAGCCTAGATTAACGTTGGTTAGTGTTGCAAATAGAGATATGGTTTTACTTAATTTGACTAACGAAATGACCTTTAATAGGGCCGTGTGGAGAAGAAGGATTTATGTAGCCAACCCCATTTGATGGGACTTAAGGCTTGGCTTGGTTTGGTTTAGCTTGGTTTTATCTTTGTAATATAACCAAAATAGTTTGTCGGCTCGAGGAGGAAAAGAGGAAAAAGTTAATTACTTTTATGAAAAAAAAAAAAATCAAGTGTTGTGTGTATTTAAATATAATATATAGGTAAATATATAAAAAAAAATTGGGGGGCCAAGTGCAATTAGACAATACCAACTTTGTCTATCTTATACATAAATTCATAGGCCCCTGCATACCAGATGGGTGTGTTTCAAAATCTACAACTTTCAGATATGTAATTAGAATAAGTGATACTATAAACCCATACTTAATTACTCAGAAATTATCTAGAATTATCATCTTGTCGTTCAAATTTATTCTATGCATGAACCTTACACTATACAAATTTGATTTCTATCACACAATCACCCATCCAGAATTGGGTGGGTAAGTCTGGGATCTCAAACTTTTCCAATTACTATAAACCCATACTTAATTACTCAGAAATTATCTAGAATTATCATCTTGTCGTTCAAATTTATTCTATGCATGAACCTTACACTATACAAATTTGATTTCTATCACACAATCACCCATCCAGAATTGGGTGGGTAAGTCTGGGATCTCAAACTGTTCCAATTACAATTCAGTGTAATTGAAGAAGAAGGAATGGAAGGATAAAGAAAAGTAATGACTTCAAGACACAAAAGTAATGAATTTATTAGGTTGTTATGGATTGGGTTTGGAATTACTTCTATGACAGTAGACTCACCAAATTAGGGATTTTAGTTGGCTAAGGCAATTTGGGCAACTTGTGCTACCCTGAATTTAATTTGTTGAGTTGACACCAGACTTGGATAGATAACATCGGTTGATGCTCAGGCTTAGGCACCTCTCAACACAACTTGGCCTGAGCCTAGACAACCCCTCCCCGGTTGCACCCCTATCTGTGACGTTTGGCGCATTGTGATGGTGGTGAGTCGCAGAGGGTGGAGATTGCAATGGTGGTGGTTGCAAGGATGAGGGGTGGTAGGGTAGTGGGGTTAGGGGGCTGCAGGGGACTGCGATGGTGGCTTTGGACGGAGGTCGTGGTGGTGATGGCTGGGGGATGGCAAGCGGAGGTGGAAAGCGGTGGCGGAAGCCGGTGGTGATGATGTGGTGGTTGGTGGTGTGTAGTGAGAAAATAACTAGGGTGTGTTTTTAGAAGCACAAGCATATTATTTTGCTTTTCTTTTCAACCTTATTATTTGATCTTCTACTTGGTTTTGATAACGTTCACAGTATAGGCTGCATGGATACAACAAAAACAATAATGTGTACAGATTTAGGTGACTTATTAATTTGGTTTTTCTTATTAGTTACTTCTTTAGATGAATTAGGATCTTGACTTGGGAGAATATGAATGCTAGTTGTAAGTTAAATGATTTTAGGTCGCTTTGGTTTTGGGTGTGAACCAACTTTTGATATTCTTGTTATCTTAACTATTTAAGAGATAGAGAGTGTACTTTAGCCTACTTAGAAATTTAACAAGTGGAAACTTGTATGTCATAAAATGCTTTTAGTTCTTACCAATCTTATTTTCAGGTCCAGCATGAGGAAGAAGGTTGATGAGCGTATCAGGACTTTGATTGAAAATGGAGTAAAGACAAGGCATAGGTCCATGTTTGTCATTATTGGTGATAAATCTCGTGATCAGGTTCAATTCTCATTTTAATGTGATTAATGTCTTTTGTTCATCTACTATATATGTTCACTTTATCAGTTTTCTGTGTATGATAAATACATGCCTGTTCCAGATTGTAAATCTCCACTACATGTTAAGTAAGGCAGACATCAAATCCCGCCCAACTGTCTTATGGTGTTACAAGGAGAAACTTGAACTTAGCAGGTACTTTAAAACAATTTTAATAAATATAAATGAATTTGTGATATTAATTTGTTTGAATCTAGTCTCTCGTTATTGATAAGTTAATTTGTTTAAGTCTATTCACAAGCCAAATGCGTACTTTAAATTATCCATCTAGAGAAGCATTTATAATCTTATATTCTTTTATTCCAGAAAATTTAAACAATCGGAAGCATGGGTTTGATGGAATGTGTTCAAATTTCTAATCCTTGTAGATGAAGGGTGTGGCTATTGACAACAGATTGTCGGGACCAGACCATCATGTTGCCTCCCACATGCCGAACCATGCCTGGCTTGGGCTTGGTTCTGAGTTTGACTGTCTGAATTTTGTACTAATACCTCTGAGATTCACCCACAGATAATCTAAATTCTGCTGTTATTTTATTTGCATACGTTACAAGTTTTTCAGTCAAGCTCTCTATCTTTTGTCAATATGCTCTATTATAATGGATAATTTTGTGGTGGACTTATCATTTTTTGTCATCCCAGCCTACCTCAATCACTACTCTTGCAATGGGCTGAGACCGAGTTAAGACTTTTGTTGTCTGCTGTGGTTCACATTTTGGGTTCACAAATTTCGCTTAAGGCTGTTATAATCTGTATTGTCTGCATACAAATTGAAGATCTTTTGCTTGCCAATTTTTTATGTTTCATATCTTTACACTTACACACATAATTTTACTGGCCTTTATAGCATTAATTTTTGTTCTTTTTATAGTGATGAAGTGGTGTATGTTGTTTAATTTTCTAATTCTTTCTTTTATTATCAGCCACAAGAGAAAACGTACGAAGCAGCTCAAGAAGTTAATGCAAAGAGGTCTTCTTGATCCTGAAAAGGTTGATGCATTTTCACTTTTTCTTGAAAGTAGGGATGTTTCCTATTGCTTCTACGGAGAATCTGATAGAATCCTTGGAAACACATATGGCATGTGCATTTTACAGGTTCAGTCTTTAACCAAGTATTTGTATATGCTAATATAAACTTTACTTAATGTTTGTGATGCTAGAAATTGGTTGACCCGTTTATCTGCTTAAATGGATTTAGGACTTTGAGGCTTTGACACCTAATATTCTTGCAAGAACCATTGAGACAGTGGAAGGTGGTGGTTTGGTGGTGTTGCTTCTTCGTTCACTTTCTTCACTAAGCAGTCTCTGTACCATGGTTATGGTTTGTTACTACTCTCTCTCTCTCTCTCACACACACACACACACACACATGCACACCTTGAGGGTTTGCATGTTCAATTGGTACTTTAGAAGCATACCTTAAATTTCATGTTTGGTAGTACTTGTCTTTTGGTTGGCCCTTTCCTAGGCCACTTAATGCCATAAAGGAAGATGGTTGAAGATAGCATATAATGCTGATTTCACTTAAAAGCATATGAGGGCTGATGTCATTTTTATATGTTGGAAACCTGACAAAGTTGTTTGTAATGATCCATTTGCCCCCTTTATGTGCATGCGTTCTCCCCTCCTACTTCATAAGTTTGTGTGGGGAATCTTGGGGTATATAAAAAAGAGTAATGAACCCTAATGACATCCCTAGCCCTTTTGAGTGAGTTCCTGAGGTTCTTACTTATGGTATCAAAGCCAATAGTGGTATTTGTGATCACAAGCCAATCATGGGGGGTAGCTCTTTTTTGGGGTTGATCATGAGCCAGTCATGGTACTTGTGATCGATTCTGATTCTAATTGAATTGTGCCCTTCATGATAAGGCAGAGTTATAACATCCTTGACTGCTTTGGTGCGTGCTAAGTCTCACATCGAAAGTTTGCATGGGGGATTCTTTTTGGCATTTTGACAATGTTCTCTATCATCAATCCTTTTTCACATATATATATATATATTTAATATGTTTTCATTTGATTCGCAATAAGTTAAAATGAAATCGCTGATACTTGTTCTAGTGATTTTCAACAGAAGCATTTCTCATTTAGTTTTTCATATTAACGTTCATGTATAATCTTTTTGCAATATTATTATTTGCTATTTTCAGGATATTCATGAAAGGTTTCGAACAGAATCACATTCTGAGATAGTTCCTCGTTTCAATGAACGGTTTTTGCTTTCTCTTGCATCATGCACAACATGCCTGGTTGTGGATGATGAGCTTAACATTTTGCCAATCTCTTCTCATGTGATGTCAACGACCGTGTCATCCATCATTGAGGCCAGTTTTTTGTTTTGTTTTGTTGTGTACTGTAGAAGGTTGCTTAATGTTTTACTTGTTTCTTATTTAATTTTTTTTCCTTATTGATTTTGTGCTCTTGAAAAGTATCTTTTGGCAAACTTTAGCTAAAACCTATGCCATCCTTTTTATTTTGCAATATGTCATTACATTGAATTTATTTTATTTCAGTAAATATAAGTGTACAAAATGAACTGAAAACTGTGAAGAGGCAAACCTTAAAGTAATGTTTTGACATTTAATTCTTTTGGTTATTTTCATCTTGTTTGTTATTAATCCTTTTTGTTAAAAATTTATTTACTTGACTTTGCATTCTGTTTGTATTGGAATTGTTTAGAAGACTGAAAAACTGTGAAGAGGCAACCCTTAAATATTTGAGGTTAACTTTTAGTGGTCATCAAAGCTAAGAATTTTTCTTGTATGTTATTAATGATACGTTCCAGGTTTCGAATGGCAGGAATGATATTCAATTTGATAATAGGTATAGGACTTGGCAACAAATTTTTTAGCCGTTTGGGATCTTGTGTTGGCTCCTAGTGGGTATACTAAGTAGCATAATTTCATTTCTTGTTCTATATTTTGAAGATGACTTTAAGAAGATATACTAGTTGGCATCAAATTTTAAATTTTTGAGTAACTGCATAATGGTTACTTCATTTGTTTGCTTTTAGTTTGTATTTAGGTTCTCCTGGTGACATTTAATTTGATTTCCATTTCTTCTCTACTTTTATTTAATGAAGGGATGTGATTCTCAACCGGGAGCAGAGCAAGAGTTATTGTATTTGAAGGAGCAGCTTCATGATGTTTTCCCTGTTGGTCCATTGGTTGGGATGTGTGCAACATTTGACCAGGTAAATATCACTGTTATTAGTTATCATCTGATCTGAGCAAGTCTACTGGGTTTCATTGCCAAAATCTTTGAAGGGACTAGCCATGCTTAGCTCTGCTTGTTCTTGTCAATTAGGGTAAAGCAGTTTCTACATTTCTTGATGCTGTGTTGGACAAGAGACCCCAGAACACTACTGCACTTACTGCCCCACGTGGGCGAGGTAAATCAGCGGCTCTTGGCTTAGGAATTGCAGGGGCTATTGCCTCAGGGTGCGTTAGACACTATGACACAACTATTTGAGTAGCCTATCTATTTCAGATATCTGTTAGTGGCGGAGCCAAGGATTTAATATAGGGGGTGGCACCTATTAATTACAATCTCAAAATTTTTCTTCCCTAATCAACAAAAATAGCATAATAATAATTTTTGAAGCTAGTATTAAACAAAAAAACTTAAATATTCATTACAAAAAGGTTTTGATTGTAAACTTTTACAATTGACCCCGACAAGTTTTCATCTTTTGAAAGTTTTCCATGATAGTATCATTATCAATGTTATAAAAAAACATCTCTCTATGTAGACAACCAAGCTATAGAAATCTCCAATTTCAACACAAACCAAAATTCTTAAATTTAGCACAAATCACAACAAATCAAAATCTCTAATTTTAACACAAATTATAACAAATCAAAATCCCTAATTTAAATATAAATCACTACAAATCAATATTTTTAATTTTAACACAAATCAAATCCCTAATTTTAGCACAAATAACAAAATAAATAAATAAAATGAAGCACTGTCAGCAAGGTATGAAAACCAAACTCTCCTGTAAATGTTTTAGGAGACTTTGGAAATTGGGTGGGCCCTGCCGCACGTGGTGTGGGGGGCTGCTGTTGCTGTTGCTGTTGCTGTTGCTGTAAGTGTTTAATAGATTACAAAAAAAAATGAAGTCTCTTACTAGCTCCGCCACTGATTTCTGTTATCATATTCTTCTCTGAAGAGCTTACGGTTTTATGTAGGTACTCAAATATCTTTGTTACTGCTCCTACACCGCAAAATTTGAAGTCTCTGTTTGAGTTCATTTGTAGGGGATTGCATGTGCTGGAATACAAGGTTTGTGGTATCTCCTTGAGTCATTAATGATACTTGTGGCAACGAGCATGTTGTGTCTATTGTAGCGTATTATAGGCTTTTGTGAAATTCATGTTTTCATTTTCTTTTCAATAAATTGCTTCATCCATTTCATTATTATTAGATTTTAGACGGTATATGTTATTTACATTTATATCTAATTTATGTGTTCTCAGGATTTTATTTTTTACATGTACAAATTTTTTATGGTTCCTGTGCTAAATGATAATTTTATGAAGAAAAAGGGGTAATGAATTCTGGAAAGAACAAGGACAATTTAAATAATCGATAACTGAGTTAATTGGAATATATCATTGACTAATGAAATATAACATCCTGAACGTTCTTTAGCAGTCCAATTTTGATGCTCTTGATTTTAGGAGTACATGTACCATATTGTTGCTATTTGGAATGTGGATCACTGGTGTGTGATAGTATGAAAATCTACGGCATATTTTGGTTCTAACTATTGAAACAAGTGCAGTGGAGGGGTTTGAAGAAGGGTCCATCATTCCCTTATGAACTTACCAAAAATATTCTTGCACGAGATTGGATAATTGGCCACAATAATGTTTGTCACTCCCAATAAAGGATGAATACACCCTAAAACGTCAAATTTCCCTTTCTCTTCCTTCTTATTTTTTAGTTGTTTGTAAGAAGAGGAGGAAAATCTAAGATGATAAGGTTCTTTTAAATTAAGCATGGTTTTCTTATGGAAGAAAATATTATAATTGTAGAACTATGGCATAAGTACCAAACCGAACCAAACCAAACCAAACCAAATTATGCCTTGTGTCCGAATCAAGTGGGGTTGGCTACATCAATTTTTTTTGCCATTCTGCTTTGTTAAGGGGTCTATGCTCATTTAAATTAAATAAATTCATATATTTTTTTACTGCCGCATCCTATGTTAGTTTAGATCTTCGTCTCCTTCTAACATTTCCATTTATGGTGATCATATTACTCTTCCTTACTGTTGCATTGCATCTACAGGTCTTTGTTATACATGACCAAACCATTTTAGCCCGTTCTCTCTCAACTTATCTTCAATTGGTGCTAACGTAACCCCATCTAAGGAGAATTCGAATTTGAAATGGAACTAATTGGATAGAACTAATAGGAGGTTTGTTATGATGGGCCTTGGGCTTTGTGTTTCATTCCTCTCTAGCTGACCTCCAAAGCCAGCTTGCCTGAGTTTCAGCCCTTGGTATGCCACCTCTATACAGAGAGATCCTAGTTTCTAGCAGGCATCTTGAAAGAGACTAACTATAACAAGTCCCTGAAATACTTTTGTGTGACTTCCGTAGATTAAATTTTCTCATGGTAGATGTGATGGGAAATTGTGTGTTGTATTATTGCTAATAACATCCTTACACATAATTACCTAGTTTTCCCATATAAACACAAAACAAACCATAATAAAAACTAAGGACTAAATTGTAATGAAGAAGTCTGCTAGTTGCAAGGAAGAGAAGAGATCGATCAGTGGTACCCAACTGAAGACTCTGATAAACAAAATGACAATCACTCTTTATGTGCCATGTTCGCTCAAGGAAGACGGTTTTGAGCAATCTAGACTGCACTCTTATTATCACGGTAGAGCGGGAAATTGTTGCTGGTAAATTGTTTCTAAACAAAATGAGCCCAGATGCACTAATTATTGGATAAATTTGGCTGCAAATAATCATTGTCATGTAATTGAAAGAATGGGGAAGGACTACATGAACAATAACTACCTTGGCTGTAAAAGTGCACCATTTTCCCTTAAAAAAGTCATGTGTCACTGGCATCCTGTCATGAATTTAATTATATAGTTGTTTTTTGCTTTTTGTCCTATGCTCTGAAGACCTTATTACTACGCTCTATCACTCTTTAATTTTATTTGATTTGTTTTTCATAATTCCTTTTAGGAGCATTTGCATTATGATTTGCTGAGGAGTAGTAATCCTGATTATGAGAAAGCAATTACACAAATAAACATATTCAAGCAGCATAGACAAACAGTTCAGGTAAATAGACTTGTTTCTCTCTTCTGTAACAATATGTTATTTGTGATCTTATATATTGTGAGTCGATTTTTTTTTTTTTCTCTTTTCTGAAGTTAACTTGCAACACAACTGCATACGATATTTTATCCTTTTAAGATTGTGCGATGTGCATGAGTAAATTGAAAGAGGTGTACCATTTCTTGGTGCATTGCCCTTTGCTATTTTTCTCTTTTGTTATTCATTCCTTTTGAAGTTTCTTTTGGCCTGTCATGAACGTGGAAGTTAGAATTTTGCGTTTGGTGTTCATTTTGTCCAGTTGGTGGGTTCGATTTTAACTCAACTTGAACCAACTTGTGCAATTGTTGGCCCCTTCTAAGCTTGATTTCTGGATCTGCCATTGTATATTGATATTTGAAATTATATCTCCGTTTATTTTGTCTCATTAATCTGAATGTGCTTTTGATGCAGTATATCAAGCCTCATGACCATGTAAAACTCTCTCAAGTTGAACTTTTGGTTATTGATGAAGCAGCTGCCATTCCTCTACCTATGGTTAGGACCTTGCTCGGGCCGTACTTAGTTTTTCTGTCATCTACGGTGAACGGGTATGATGTGCATCCCTGTCTCCATCTCTGTGCTTGTCTTTCTGTCTGTGTTTGTCTAAGTCTCTTCCTCATGACTTCTTTGTGCTATAAATGGCATTTTGTTTGGCACATATATCTTTTCCCCCCCTTTTCTCCCATTATGTCTACATTATAGCAACCTCATTGGTTTTTGTTTTTTGGTTTTTAGTTTGATTGTGTTACATGGAATATTTATGAATTTTCTTTCTTTTACAGATATGAAGGCACTGGTCGTTCTTTGTCATTGAAGCTTCTTAGTCATTTGGAAAAGCAAAGTCAGACAAAGGTTTCAAGCACTAATGACAGTCACAATGGTACGAATTAATTTCTAGCTTCTATTTATGGCGGCATTTATAGTTTCCTTACATCGTTGGCTTTTGAGGCTTATTCGTTGCTGAATGTTTGAATTCTGCCCAATTCATTGTGCCTTGATGGCCATGGTGGGGAGGGGTCAGTGTGATGCTTGTAGATTATGACATAATTAGGGTCACTTACCCTTCTACACTATGTCTATTTAGGTAGTAAAGATGTCTCATGCTTTTGCCTTCAAAAGCTAAAAGTATGATTTGTATGATAAATAGTTTCTGTTACAGTGAGAAAAAATATATGGGATATGTAATGTGGAGGAATTTGACATCCATTGTTGGGACAATTAATTGGTAAAAGGCTTAGTTCTGTCATATGATACTCTGAGGAAGTCCTTAGCTTCAGTGCTGCTTTGCTTTCTTGTTTGGCTGCATGAGATTAGATCATTAAATAGTTAATACCTTCATTAACTGTTCTCGGTCTAGTTCATAAAAGTTGATATGCCTTACGCTCGTCACTATCCAGTATGATAAAATTGGTAGCAATAATGAAGATTCTTCATTTTTTTTGCTCCTTGATGTGGAGACGGAGAGATCATATACTTTTACCTTCTTGTTACAGTTGGGTTTTTCCAGAAATTAGAACTTAAGGAATCCATCAGATATGCTTCTGGGGATCCTATAGAGACTTGGCTCAACAGTTTACTTTGCTTCGATATTACAAATTCGATCCCTCCAATCAGCAGGTTAGAATCGGTCTGTTTAAAAGCATATAAGAATTAGTTGTTCCTCCAATGGTGACAAGTTTATCTTTTGAACTATTAGGTTCCCCCATCCCAGTGAATGCAATTTGTACTATGTTAATAGAGATACTCTGTTCTCCTTCCACAGAGAAAGTGAAGCATTTCTGCAGGTACCTGAAACATTTTAGATTTTAAAACAAGTTAATCTACTTTGCTTTCATAATCACTGACATGCAATTTTTTTTTTTTTTTTTTTGGGTGGTTTGTTGCTTCTTTTTTGTTTTTTGTTTTATTTTTATTTTTTTAACAGCGGATGGTGGCTCTTTATGTTGCATCTCACTACAAAAATTCTCCAAATGACTTACAATTGATGGCTGATGCTCCAGCACACCACCTATTTGTGTTACTTGGTATATTTCTTCTATACACAATCCAAATGTGATTCCATTCTCTTTTAGGCAGCAGAATTCAGTGGCAAGCTTTTATGCAGGTCCTGTTGATGAATCTAAGAACATCCTTCCCGATATTCTGTGTGTTATTCAAGTGAGTAGCTTTGTACACAATTTTTATATAGTTTTTATTTATTCTTAATTTTTCTCATTGCTCAGCCTTTTGCATCCATCAATTATTAGATGATTTTTCTTTCCTTCTTGTTTTGTTCACTTCCAAATATTCTTTGTGATATTAAAGTTGATATTGAGGTTCATATCTTAAATTTAAGTGGAAGTGTTTGTGATATTAAAGTTCTCCCTCCTACGAATGTTCTTTACGAAGTTTGTTACAATTGCAATGACTTCCTAATACAGTTGACTTTTTGAAACTTAGATATTACATGCTCTTTACTTCATTGATATCTTTATTTTTTATTTTTTGTTCCCAACTTTTCATTAAAAAAAATCTTAATAATAATTTGGTACTAATCATCAACCAAACAGGTCTGCCTTGAAGGACAGATTTCTCGTGATTCTGCACTGCAAAGCTTGCGTATTGGTCGTCAACCTTCAGGGGATCAACTAGCATGGAAATTTTGTGAAGTGTTTGAAGACACAGATTTTCCAACCCTCTCAGGTGCTCGTATTGTAAGAATAGCTGTGCACCCATACGCACTTGGGGTAAAGTTCAATCCTTGCACTTTTTACCATTGCAAAATACAATGTCTAAGCCAATTGATTAATGATTGCACTTTGTGTGTTTATAGCATGGATATGGCTCGGCAGCTTTGGACCAACTCACGAGGTTTGTGGAGACTTTATGCCTCTTGCCTCTAAATTCATTTTGTCATACTCTATGAAGTTGTGTTAATACCATCAAATTCTGAAAGCCCTTGGACATATGTGGAGTTCTTGTGTTTGTTTAGTTTTTAAACTTGTTTTTGTGCTTGGTCTTTTGTCAAAATTGATAGATGTATGCCCGTGCTGAATATCCAATACAATTTGAATATTGCAATGCTATGATTCAGTTAGTTAGTAGTTAATTTTTTGATAACATACATTCCTGAACTTAGTTTACCTTAGTGTATAGAATATCATGTTGAATTCGAATAATTTGACAATTGTTAAATTGTCGTTGTGTTGCTAATTATTTGACCTGTGTTGATAGAATGTTGAATTTAAATATTTTGACAATTGTTTAACTGTCATCACATTATATGTGTGTACACATATATTGCAATCCACTTATCAAACGATATGTACATTTATATATATTTGCAATCTATATAATATTGATTAGTCATTTTCATATGCCCTCTCCCCTCCAACCCAAAAATCAAAAACCCCAAAGAGGGAAAAAAAAAAATTATTAATTTTTTTATTTCTAAAATTGAATAATCCATCTGGAATGTGTAAAGTAACCCTTAGTTATTTTTTTTTTCACAGAAAGGAAAAAAGAATCCACCTTTGTGTGTGTGTGTGCGCGCGCGTGTGTGACCGCATTAGAAATTTTAATCATAATATTTGCCATTATTTTGGTTGGGAAGGTTTAGTATTTTTTTATTTATTATTTTTATAGATTTTTGGTTTGTGACAACAAAGGGGATAGATAATACATCTGAACTTACTTTTTGTAGAAAGGAAATGGCGACTGATTCTCCTTTGGTCACACATTTTTGTTGGGCTTCTCTATTCCATCTATTCCTCTTTTCTACGTAGTCCATTTCTATTTGGCTTTTTCTTCTGTTTTTCTCATTTTCTTTGTCGTCGGCTATGAAGCACCGACATTACAACTGTTCTCAATTGATTGTGAAGTGTTCATCCTGTTCACATGATTTGTCATGGCATTGATTGATTAATATATTTAACGAAGATATTTCCAATTCTTTACAGGTATTATGAAGGCCAGTTAACTGCTAATAGTGAATCGGACATCAAGAAACCTGATGATATGAATGTCCCAGTCAATGTGACAGAAGCTTCGGAAAAGGTTTGGCTTTTGCTGAAGTTAGTTTAATATGAACGCACTTGGGTGGTGTGTTGTTTATAGAGTGAGAAATTTCATTTCCCATCCCATCTCTCCCCCCACCCTTTGATTTTTCTAGTTGTGAGTGCTTTGTTTTGTTTGTCTCTCTCTCTCGCTCTCTCTCTTCTGTTGCATCTATTTAGAATTGATCAAAATTGCAGGTTTCATTGCTAGAAGAAACAGTAACTCCGAGGAAGAATTTACCTGCTATGCTTATTCCTCTTCGTGAGCGCTTGCCTGAAAGTCTTCATTATATTGGTGCTTCGTTTGGGCTTACTGCTGATCTTTTTCGTTTCTGGAAGAAACACAAGTTTTCTCCTTTCTACATTTGTGACCATCCAGTAATTATATAAACAGCTTTTTATGTTTTGTTTCAGATCCATATAACCTTTACTTTTTAGTTTAATGACTCATAATCTTGTTGCTTCAGAATAATGTGACTGGCGAGCACAGTTGCATGGTCCTTAAGCCTTTAAATACTGATGAGATTAAAGACAGTGGAAATGGTCCAGTGGGTTTTCTTGGTCCATTTCATCAGCGTAAGTCATTTTTCTTTGCATAGCATTTATGGTTTTTTCTTTTTCATTCTTCCTGTTTTTCATGTTTCAAAATGGTACAGCTAAGTTCTATGCCTTTCACAGGTTTCAAACGGTGTTTTGTGAGACGGTTGCCTTTGTTCTTTAGGGAATTGGATTACAAGCTTGCCATGAGGTAAAATTTCAATAGACTTCTTCTTTCACGTGCTGCATGCTAGCTCACTCATGAATCTATCTTCTCTCTTGTAGCATCTTGGACCCAAAGATTAACTTCTCTGAAGGTGAACCTTCGGTATCATCAAAAGATGAAAGTGCAATGTTGATGAAGTTAATTATTTCGCCAGATGATATAAAGCTGTTGGAAGCTTACACCAATAATCGTAAAGATTATGGACAGGTGAGATGTTTGAACTTTTCTTGTGAGTGGGTTTTGAAACTTGGTTGCTATGGATGCATCCTAGCCTAATAGTAACTGTTTACATTTCTTCTTAGTATTAATGGTAAAGCTGCTAAAAAAAAAGTGAGCAGTAATTGTTTATGTTATTATATTGTTGCATAAGTTGTAGGAATAGTGTGTGAAGTATCTCTGATTGAAGTATCTCGGGCATGTTACACGACACAGATACAATATGACATTGACATTGACACTGACAGGACGACACGTCAATTTGAAAAAAAATGCAGGACACGGCATGCCTTGGATACATTACAAATTTATATTTTTATAAATTTATTGCACCTGAAATATATAAATAGTTTATTCAAAGGTAATGAAAAAAACAACATAGCACTAATTAAATTTTAAAAGCCATATATTCCATAACTTAAAACATCAAAATATCATTCACGTAATAATTATAATCTAAAGAATGTCAAAAAATTATAGAATATAGAAATACACATGATGTATTCATCTTATAAATGCTTTAAAACATATTTAGAGTAAATAAATTGAATTACAAAGAATACAAAACATTGTTACCTGGGCCGTTTGAGGTTGGACCCCGCCGGTGTATTCTTTTTCTCAGTGGCCGGTCTTTCAAATTAGAAGAAGCGTCGGTGGATTTGATTGGGCAGTGTAGCATATTGATTGTGGAAAGGGGACAGGGGCTTTGAAGGGTTGTAGTGTTGATTGCATATAATCCTTCACCTCCAGGATCTTCGATTTCCTTCGATTCGTACGGCGTAAATCACGTCCTTTTTTTTCTAGTCGAAGATCGGCACCCGCAATGGCTAACAGCACTGCTGGTTCCATCGTCGGCCCTGCCTCTACCCAAATCGGCAATGAAAAGTTCCACGAACCCCACCGGATGGAAACTTGCGACGGTATGTTCTTAGAGCACCTAACACACAGCCGAACGGAACCCATATCCACTGGCGATGCATCCATCGCCACAAAGCCACCACACTGATCGCCGATTTGCCGATGAACCTCCTTCCCACGAAGATGGATTGGCAAACCCACCACTTGGACCCATACCCTCTATTCCGATGGTGATGTCTTGCCCGATGCACGAAGGGCCAGAGGATTCCACATTCCAACTCCATATCACAGCCACCGATGGTCCAACGCCGACATATGAACGGCTCCGCCTCACTTCGTGTTGGTAAAACAAACAAGAAAGCCTGATTGCCAAGCAGGCGCACCTCCACCTTGTCCGAGAGCTTCCACTACCGTATAACCCAATCAGAAATAGCAGCAAAGCTGATTCTTTTGCCACCCATCTCCCGAAATTGACCCACCAGTGAGCAATCCAACAATCGGAACCAGTTTGCTTCCACCGACATGTGAGCTGCCCTGACCCCTCCAAACGCACCACGAGCCGGCAATGACACTGGCCCAAATGTGGACAACACTGTCCTTTGCATGCCACCAAGTCGCCTCACCCATCTATCCCCTAACCCAAAGCCTTCAATGACTAGAGCCACATCCCTCCACCCTCCTCCGAATTCTGACGTTGGAATGAAAATTTGTTCCCTCCGGTTCCCTACCGTCACCACTACTTGAAACATGGATCCAACAGTTTTGACGGTTTCCCATTTGTTTTATGCGGATAATGCGCTTATTTTTTGTGATGTAGATGTTGCTCAGATTGGACATTTGAGATGTGTGTTGTTGTGTTTTAAGGCAGTGTCAGGCTTTCGAGTGAACCTGGCAAAGTCGGAACTGATTCCAATGGGTGAGGTGGCGCGGACTCCGGTGTTGGCAACTATTGTAGGGTGTAAGGTGGTGTCTCTGCCAGTTTCATATCTGGGTTTACCTCTGGGGGCATCGTTTAAGGTGACGGGGGTATGGAATGGGGTGGTGGCCCGTGTGCAGCGGTGATTGGCAGGGTGGAAAAGGCAGTATTTATCAAAAGGTGGCAGACTCACGTTGATTAAGAGTGTCCTGTCTAACATTCCGACTTACTTTATGTCCATTTACGTGATTACGGTGTCTGTAGCTAAGCGGATTGAGAAGTTGCAAAGGAATTTTCTATAGGGAAATTGGGGGGAGGGTTCTTATCATTTGGTGGCTTGGGATAGGATTTGTAGTCCTAAGGTTCATGGGGGTTTGGGGGTTCGGAGGTTGGTCATGTTTAATGTTGCTTTGTTGGGACAGTGGTAGTGGCATTTTGTGGAGGAGAGGGACCGCCTTTGGAGGAGAGCGGTGGTTGCGAAGTTTGGTGTGGGGCGGGGAGGCTAGTGTTTAGGTAAGGTGAGGCAATCGCATGGCCATGGTCTTTGGAAAGGGATTTGGTTGGGGTGGGAGGAGTTTTGGAGGAGGGTTAAGCTGAAGGTAAGGGTAGGGGATAGAGTTCGGTTTTAGGGAGATAGGTGGTGTGGTGTCATTCTATTAGAAGCGGTTTCCTTTGATTTATGGTCTTGCCGTTGATAGTGAGGTAATGGTGGGTGATGTAAGGTGTGGGCACGGGGACTCGATTGTTTGGAATGTGCCTTTGCGCCGTGATGCTTAGGATTGGGAGCAGGATCAACTGGTGGAGCTATTGGGTTTTTTTATGAGTTGCGAGTTGGGAAGGATGGACAGAATTCTTTGGTATGGAATTGTCCTGGGGCTAAGGGGAAGTTTTCTGATTCCTCGTATTATGTAGTACTAGCTCATGCGGAGGCTGCTATTTTTCCGTGGAAATGTGCCTGGGTGTCAGGGTCGCCATCCAAGGTGGCCTTTTTTGTGTGGACAGCTATGTTGGGGCGTATCTTGACGTTGCATAAGCTAATCCGCCATGGCTATATATTGGTCAATTGGTGTTGTTTATGTTGTGGCGATGCGGAGTCAGTAGACCATTTGCTAGTTCATTGCCTAGTTACTTATTGCATTTGGATGCTTGTTGTAGCGACTTTTGGATTGGCTTTGGTGCAGCCGGCTTCAATTAAGGCAGTTTTGCAGAGTTGGATGGGGGGTCGAGTTGGGAGGTGGCGTCGGAAAGCGTGGTTGCTTCTCATCATCTTGTTTGGTTGGTTTGGTTGGAGCATAATAGGCGTGTTTTCTAGGGGGTGTCTCATTTGGTTTCTTGGTTGGAACGATGGATGCTCACGGTTCTGCATAGTTGGGTGACCAGTTCGGTTGATCCTAATGTTATGGCCTTTGCAGATTTTGTGGAGGATTTGATTTGTTAATACGTTGGGTCTTTGTGGCTTCTAGTTCTGTATTATTTGCATCATCTTGATGCTTTCCTAATAAAGTTTGGTTATTTATCACATAAAAAATAAAAAAAAACATTGTTACTATGAAAAGATTCATCACATAGTTGTGTTTGGAGAGTTCGAGAAGTGTCACCGAAGTGTCTATAAAGTGTTTGATATTAGGAATTTATATATTTAATTTAGACACATTGAAGAAAATATCGAACACGCTGGGGTGATACTGTTATTGAGAGACCTTTATTTGCATGACACTTGAGATGGCCAAAATATTGATATGCATTGTTGGTGATACAAGGAAACCTAGAACATGGTGTCTGGCCCTGTAGTAAAATAAGGATAACATTTCTCTCCTCTCTGGGTTCAATTTCCCACAGATAGCGACATGTCTTCCTACAGAACTAACATACTAAGTAACTATACCTGATGCTCTCCTTTGAACTTGAGAAATGTAACCTTTGTTGGCATATTATATTATTATCTGAGCTTTTGTGGTTTGTAATTACTCTATGCCCTCAGGGCTCGACTTGTAATTGTCTTATCTTGTAAATCCTAATCTTCATTTATAAATAGGGAATGATATTTTATCAAACCCTAAGCTGGTTACTCAAGCTTCATGGTATCAGAGCAGAAACTCTAGGGTTTCAGCTCATCTAGGGTTGGTCGACCTTTGCACCAACGATCCTCTAGGGTTCGAAACTTACCTGGTTGATCATTTGTCGCCTTCATCTTCCCCAATCGACCGTCGATCTCTGTCGCCTTTGTTTCTCAGCCGACCGTCGTCTCCTCTGTCGCCTTCGTCTCTCAGCCAACTGTCGCCTTCCTCTATCGCCTTCGTCGCTCGTCTATCTTCTCAGCTCGTCAGTTCGTCGCTCGCCTTCGTCTTCCTCAGTCGACCGTCGATCTCCTTCATCAGTTCGTTGATCTACTCTCTGGTATACTCTCATCTCCTATGTTGTGTATACTCTCTCCTTCATCATGTATAAAGTCGTGTATAAACACCGTACCAATCCATATATAAATAAATAAATAAATGACTATATAAAAAAAATAAAAATAAATAATGATTTCTTAATTTTGTTATACCTTTATAGTGGTCATTGTGCCTGTTCTTTCACCACTATCTTCCGGGTTTGTGATTGCCACTAGTTTTGTTGCGGGTTCGGTAGTATAGTATCCATGGCAGATTCCACCAGTGTGTCCCCTACTTCTCAAACACCGAGGAGTGAGAGTCAACATGTCTACGCATCCTAGACGATCTCTCAGAAGGGGAATATTTTCTAAAAACCAAAGAAATCAAATTCTTTTTAAAATTGTGGAGTAGTTAGATAGTTTTCAAGTTTGGCTTAATTCTTTGGGAAAACGAGCAACCCAACAGAAGGTCGTGTTAGCATATTATATTATTATCTGAGTTATTGGTTTGTAATTATTCTATGCCCTCAGGGCTCATCTTGTAATTGTCTCATCTTGTAATTTTACAAACCCTAATCTTCATTTATATAAATAGGGGATGATGTCCTATCAAACCCTAAGCTGGTTACTCAAGCTTCATGGTATCAGAGCAGAACCTCTAGGGTTTCGGCTCACCCCTGTTGGTAGACCTTGGAACCAACGACCCTCTAGGGTTCGAAACTTACCTGGGTTGTTCATCTGTCGCCTTCGTCTTCCTCAGTCGACCGTCGATCTCTGTCGCCTTCCTCTGTCACCTTCGTCTCTCAGTCAACTGTCGATCTCCACTTCGTCTTCATCACCCTGTCGCCTTCGTCGCTCGTCGATCTTCTCAGCTCGTCAGTTCGTCGCTCGCCTTCGTCTTCCTCAGTCGACCGTCGATCTCTGTCGCCTTCCTCTGTCACCTTCGTCTCTCAGTCAACTGTCGATCTCCACTTCGTCTTCATCACCCTGTCGCCTTCGTCGCTCGTCGATCTTCTCAGCTCGTCAGTTCGTCGCTCGCCTTCGTCTTCCTCAGTCGACCGTCGATCTCCTTCATCAGTTCGTTGATCTACTCTCTGGTATACTCTCATCTCCTATGTTGTGTATACTCTCTCCTTCATCATGTATAAAGTCGTGTATAAACACCGTATCAATCCATATATAAATAAATAAATAAATGACTATATAAAAAAAAATAAAAATAAATAATGATTTCTTAATTTTGTTATGCCTTTATAGTGGTCATTGTGCCTGTTCTTTCACCACCATCTTCCGGGTTTGTGATTGCCACTAGTTTTGTTGCGGGTTCGGTAGTATAGTATCCATGGCAGATTCCACCAGTGTGTCCCCTACTTCTCAAACACCGAGGAGTGAGAGTCCCATTATACCTACTACCATGACTGAAAACCCAACCCTAGTATGAAAATCACCACCTCTCTATTTAATGGTCAGAACTCCCTAGCATGGTCTCAAAGTTTGACTATATTTTTGAAGAGTAGAGGGAAGATGGGGTATGTTGATGGCAGGATACAGACACCTAGTACCACTGACTTGGGTTATGACCAATGGGAGATTACCAACTCTTTGATTATGGGTTGGCTTATTCATTCGATGGTTCCTGAACTTGGTGAGGGCTACTTGTCTATGGAGACTACCCAGGATATTTGGGATGCTGTGGCTGCCACCTATTCCCGCAAAGGGAATTTCTCACAGGCATTTGAATTGCGCCGCTCTATTGAACGCTCACTTCAGGGGGAGCAGACTATCCTTCAGTATTTCACTTTCCTCACCAAGGGCTGGAAACGCCTTGACCACTTGCAAGACTATAAGCCTGTTTGCGCTGTTGATTTTGTCGGGTACAAGAAGTTCATCTCATAGGAACGGGTCTTTACATTTCTGGCAAGTCTAAATGTGGAGTATGATCCAGTTAGGGGTTGAGTTCTGGGTACGGACACTCTTCCTTCACTTCAGGCGGCATTTGCCTATGTACAGAACAGTGTTTTTTAAGGTGAAAAGTGAACCGAGGCGAAAAGGTCTCCTAATGCCTAAGCGCGAGGCGATGAGGCGAGGCGAGGGCTTCATCGAATCGAGACGACCAGAAAAGATATTTTTTTTAAATAAATGGTATAGACAAAAATTAATTCTATCCAACAAGCAATTCAATGTTTCAACATAAAGAAATTAAAGAACATATTTTAACAACATTAAAGAACATAAAGAAATTAAAATAGTTGAAATTAATTGAATTAAAATAATTAATTGAATAACCAGGAAATTAATTGAATTCAATTAATTGAATTAAAATAAACAAATTAATTGAATTAATTGAATTAAACAAATTAATTGAATTAAAATAATTAATTGAATAACCAGAAAATTAATTTTATTGAATTAAATTAATTAAATTAAAATAAACAAATTAATTGAATTAATTGAATTAAACAAATTAATTGAATAACCAGGAAATTAATTGAATTAATTGAAATTTTAACACATAAGAAAAAAAATAATTGAATTAATTGAAAAAAAATTAATTTAAAAATAATTGAATTAATTTAAAAAATTAATTTTTACGAATTAATTTTTGCGAATTAAACATTAATTTTAAAAATTAATTGAATTAATTTTAACAGGTTTGACAGTGTTCAAAAAAGAACACTGTGAAGTCGAAGGGAAGAACAGGTGAAGTCGACAGTGAACAAAGGAGAAAGGAAGAAGAAGAAGAAAGGAAGAAGTAGGAACTCACCTCGGAATGACGTCCGAAGAAGGAACGAAGTCGACGAACGAAGACCCAGATGCTTCGACTTCGGACGAAGAAGACCCAGAAGACCCAGACGTCGATGAACGAAGTCGATCTAGGGTTTGGACTTCTTATTTAGTAATTAACTTTGTCGATGAAGGGCCCAGATGATTCGAACGAAGTCGATGAAGGGCCCAGATGATTCGAACTGAAATCAGGCCAAAATCTAATGACGCGTCGCTTCTTTTCGCCTCACGCTTCATCGCCTAAGCCTCGCGTCTCCATCGCCTCACCATTTCACCTCGCCTCGCCTTAAGGTGTGTGAAGCGCCTCGCCTCGCCTCGCCTCGCTTAGCGCTTAGGCTCGCCTCTGATAACAGTGGTATAGAATGAGGAGAGTCGTTGGTCTGCTATGATGTCCCCTGTCTCTACTGACCGCTCAGTATTACTGTCTGCTCCTCGAGATGGCCTCAGCCTGACTCCCATCCCTTCGTCTGCTACTAAGGATTCTGTATTCTGTGATTATTGCAAGAAGCCGCGGCATACTCGTGAGACGTGTTGGAAGCTTCATAGGACTCCATCCAGGGGTCGAGGTGATCGGTCTGGTTCTCGAGGAGGTCGGTCAGGCCAGTCTAGAGGACGTGGTTCCTATTCCCGGGCTCATCAGTCTAGTGCCGTTGATACACTTGATTCTAATTCTGCTTCTGTTGGCCAAGCTTCTGATGCTGAGCTGGAGGATGCTTTGCGCCAATTGTTGGACCGCCGGTCTTCTACTGCTCTCAGTACAGCTTCCTCGTCCTTTGCCCGCTCAGGTAACTTAGCCTCTTCTCCTTGTGTTTTTCTGTGTCATAAGTCTTTGCCTTGGATTATTGATTCTGATGTCTCAGATCATATGTCTGGCTCCTCTGATCTTTTCTCCGCCTATAAGCCCTCTTCAGGTCAAGACAAAGTTAGGATTACAGATGGTACTGTTTCTTCCATTTCTGGAAAAGGTTTAGTCCAAGTCACTCCTACCATACATCTATCTTCTGTTCTCCCTGTTCCCAATTTTTCTGTTAATCTGTTATCCTTGAGTCATCTCACCTAGGATTTGAATTGTAGTGTGACGTTTTTTCCTGATCATTGTCTTTTTCAGGACCTTGTCACGAGGAGGACAATTGGCAGTGGTAGTGCAGAAAATGGTCTCTACTTCCTGGATCAACCGGACAAACTTGCTTATTCTTCCACTACGTCTTCTACTAACCCCGCCAATTTATGGCTGTGGCATCGTCGTCTTGGGCATCCTTCCTTTTATTTACTTAAGCATTTATTTCCATCTGGTTTCGCAAATCATCATGTGTCTGACTTTCTTTGTGAGTCTTGTCAACTTGGAAAACAACACAAAGCTTCTTTTGCTCCTAGTTTGAATAAAAGTTTAGTTCCTTTTTCATTAATACATTCTGATGTATGGGGTCCCTCTCGTGTTATGTCTGTGAAAGGTCATCGATGGTTTGTTACATTTATTGATGATTTTTCTCGTGCTACTTGGGTGTATCTCATGAAAGATAGGAGTGGGGTTTTCTCTGTGTTTTGCAATTTTCATAAGATGATTTGTACTCAGTTTGGGGCTGCTGTCAAATTATTTTGTTCTGATAATGGCGGGAAATACATAGATTCTGGGTTAAGACAATATTTTTCTACTCATGGCATTATCCATCAGATCTCTTGCACCAATACCCCTCAACAAAATGGGGTGGCGGAACGCAAGAATCAGCATCTTCTTGACATGGCTCGGTGCATGTGTTTTTCTATGAGTGCGCCTCAGCCCTATTGGGCCGACGCTGTTCTCATCGCTACCTATCTTATTAATCGTCTCCCTACCTAGGTCTTGCAAAAACAAGCTCCTCTTCACGTCCTCCTAGGTTCCCAGTCCTTGTTTTCTATTCCTCCCAAAATATTTGGTTGTGTCTGTTTTGTTCATAATCACTCTTCTTCTCATGGTAAGTTGGACCCTCTCTCCCTTAAGTGTGTTTTCCTTGGTTACTCTCCTACTCAAAAGGAGTATAAATGTTACCACCCTTCTTCTCGTAAGTGGTTTGTGTCCATGGATGTTACTTTCTTTAAGTCCCAGTCCTATTTCTTGTCCTCTCCGGTGTCACCGTCCTCATTTCCGGGGGAGCCTTGGTGTGAAGTGAGTCTTGTGCTTCCTATGGTGGACCCAGTGGTTCTTGCACCACCCTCTTCTACTCTGCTTCCTATGGTGGAACCATTTGTTCTTGCACCACCCTCTTCTACTGGGACTATAGAACCCAATGTCACCAAGGATAAGGACGGACATGTTTATGTCCGGGACATAGATAGACAACAACTGGATACAAGGAACCACTTCTGCTCCTCCACTGCCATCTCCTGCTTCTGATGAGAGTCTGGGTAACTTTGAATCTCTTGAGTCCATTGATCTTGATGTTCTTATTGCCAAGAGGAAGGGTGTGAGATCTTGTACTCAACATCCTATCTCACATTTTGTGTCCTACTCTCATTTGTCATCCTCATATAGAGCGTTTGTGTCCAATATTTCCTCTGTTAGCATTCTTACCCATTTTCAGGATGCTCTTTCTACCTCTGAGTGGAAACTAGCCATGATTGAGGAAATGAAAGCACTTAGGAAGAATGGCACTTGGGAATTGACTGAGTTACCTACGAGCAAACGACCTGTGGAATGTAAATGGGTATATACTGTGAAACACAAAGCAGATGGGTCTATTGAGCGTTACAGGGCAAGACTTGTGGCAAAAGGGTTTACTCAGACATATGGCATTGATTATCAGGAGACCTTCGCACTCGTGGCTAAGATGAATTACTTCTCTCTTTAACAGCTAATCTAGATTGGCTGCTTTATCAGTTTGATGTCAAGAATGCCTTTCTCCATGGTGACCTCAAAGACGAGGTATATATGGACATTTCTCCTGGTTTTGAGGATCATCAGACAGAAGGCAAAGTATGCAAGCTTCGGAAGTCATTATATGGTCTTAAACAGTCTCCAAGGGCTTGGTTTGAGAGATTTACTCGGGCTATGTTTAAATATGGCTTCAAACAGAGTCAGGCAGATCACACCTTGTTTGTGAAACATTTCTCACGTGGTAAGACTACAGCACTTATTGTTTATGTAGATGACATAGTTTTTACGGGCAATGATAGTGGGGAAATACCTCTGTTGAAGAAATATTTAACTAGTGAGTTTGAAATCAAAGACTTGGGAAGCTTGAAGTATTTTCTGAAAATTGAAGTTGCTCGCTCTAAGGATGTGATATTTATCTCACAGAGAAAATATGTGCTTGACCGGTTGAAGGAAACTGGGATGCTTGGCTACAAGGCATGTGCCACCCCACTGGAACCCAATCAGAAATTGGGGGATGATGAAGGAGGAGAAGCTGTTGATAGGGGGAGCTATCAGCGATTAGTGGGTAAGCTCATTTACCTATCTCATTCCCGTCCTGATATTGCTGTTGCTATCAGTATGGTTAGTCAGTTTATGCATGCTCCTCATCAGACTCACTTTGAGGTTGTCATGAGAATCTTGAGGTACTTGAAGTCTGCTCCTGGTAAGGGTCTTTATTTTTCAAAGTATGATCATCTTCATGTAGAAGCCTATATAGATGTTGACTGGGCTAGATCAGTAACTGATAGGAGATCGACTTCAGGGTATTGCACTTTTGTTGGAGGCAACCTAGTTACTTGGAAGAGTAAGAAACAGAATGTGGTTGCCAGGTCAAGTGCAGAAGCTGAGTTTAGAGGTATGGCACAAGGTGTGTGTGAACTTTTATGGATCAAGTTATTGTTGAGTGATCTAGGTGTTGATCAGACGGACTCCATGCGGTTAGACTGTGATAATAAGGCCCATCAACATCGCTCACAATCCAGTTCAACATGACAGGACAAAACATGTTGAGATTGATCGCCACTTCATTAAGGAGAAACTCACTAGTGGTACCATTTGTACTCCTTTTGTCCAGTCTGGTGAACAACTTGCTGACATTCTCACCAAGGGGGTTGGGAATAAACTATTTCATGACATATTAGGCAAGCTGGGCATGAGAGATATCTTCGCACCAGCTTGATGGGAAGTGTTAGCATATTATATTATTATCTGAGCTTTTGTGGTTTGTAATTACTCTATGCTCTCAGGGCTCGACTTGTAATTGTCTCATCTTGTAAACCCTAATCTTCATTTATAAATAGGGAATGATATTCTATCAAAACCTAAGCTGGTTACTCAAGCTTCAACCTTTGATATGAATTGTTAAAATACATAGTTAGATGGATTAATTGAAACAAGGATCAATAAATTAATATGGATGACTTTGGGAAACCAAATAGTTTTTAAATGGTACTTAGTCATTTACGATGGTTTGGTCTTTGTATATTGGTTATTTTTGGCTTCAGTTAAATTGATTGATTTATAAGGGCTATGAGAAAAGTTGAAAAGGATGCCATTTGAGATGTTAATGCAATATTATAGAAATGCAATAGTTATCGGCATAGTTATTTCAAAGAAAGGATTTTCTTTGATATTGAAATTATACAACCAAAAGCGGGCCGTGTTGCAATGGAAAACTTGCTCTATTATGACCTGTGTATCATGTGTTTGAAAAATGGAAACATCCTTTCCACATATGAGGGAAAGGCTCTATACATCTCACTGTTCCCAAACCCTGCAGTGGTTTGGCTACTATATACAGAGTTTGCTGGATTATATCACATGCCAACTTAATCATTCTTGAGTAAACCTGTTAATTTCTGTTTAAAGAGCAAGTAAATGTACTATAGTTGGTTGCTGCTTCTGAAAATTTTAAAGAGTTTAACTATGTTAAGATATTAAAACTGTTTTGAAATTTTTTTGATTGATCTTTTGAAGCATGCTAGTGCATCTGTGCATTTTGTGTATTTTCTCCTTGGCCATTTGAATCTCATGTAGAGATGCCATCAGCAGATATTTGAAAACAGATTAGAATTTGATATTTCTTCCATCTTGCAGGTCAGGCCTCTGGTGCCAATCCTTGCTCAATGCTATTTTCAGGAGAAGCTTCCAATTACCTTGTCATATCTCCAGGCTTCTGTTTTACTGTGCATGGGCTTGCAGGTCCAGGATATAACGGATATTAAGGTATGAACACGGTGAAAATTAGGCGAATTCTTCTTTTAATTGCTTTACAAAATTTGATTGCAATATTTAAATTCAAGTTATCCAGATCTTGTAGCATGAGAGTCCTTGTCAATCAACAACAAAAAACCAAAAAAAAATGTTATTATTTTCTTTGTGTTCGTGCCTCTCTTTTTCTTTTTTGATCGGCAAAATGAAGACTTTATTGATGAAAAAAGAAAAATTACATCAATAAAGAGGAGCTTGGAGCTAAAAACAAGCTCCAACCTCCAAGTTGTTGAGAAACCAACAAGCCAACAAAACAGAGGAAAAAGATAACAAGGAAAACCAGATAGGAAAGGTACTATAGCACCAAAACCAGAGCAGACAACACAGCACTCATTTGAAGCACCAATCAGATCGGGCCCTGCAGTGTGTTCATGCCTCTCTTATAGGACTACTTTTATACAATAGTAATAAATAAATAAATGAAAGAAAAGAATGAGGGTAAGTCCGCCCCTACTACCTCTCCCAACCTTGCTGTAAGCAGAAGCTTTGTGCACTAAGCGCGACCTTTTTGTCTTTTTTATTTTTATAAATATGATGTGTAAAGGGAATGTTCAAATCTTTGGGAGCATGTGATACTGTTTTTGCTGCGAACATGGTTGTGCCCCTGTTTTTTCTGAGAACTTGATGCTGCATGCATTTTGTTGGATTGAACTGCATACATATATTGTTACATTGGGGTGTGCGCTTTTTCTTTCTTTTGCTTTTTTAGTTGGGACAAGGCTGAGCTTAGTTTACATTTTTTTTTTCTTTTCTTTTCTTTTCTTTTTGTGGTTGACCGGAAGTTGTAGTTCAATTGCTTTCATTACATAACAGGGAATGATGAAGATAGAAAGGGAGCAAGCATTGTCATTGTTCCGGAAAATTATGACAAAAATCTACAAGTATTTATATGATGTTCTAACCAAAGATTTTGACTCAAGTTTCCCTCAAGAAAGGGAGGTAAGCAAGTATTAATTTATGATCTTATGAAATCCCAATGCTTTGATTAAAACCACCTCTTTGTGAGACGTGACTTACTTTAAACAAAATGTTTTTTACATTGTTTCCTGCTGTCTTACGGGAGCTTCATGTAATTTTTAGACGCTTCTGGAAGTTTCTTTCTGCGAGGTTGGTTCATCACTATTTCACATACTCTTTCTTTGGATTTTACAATAGGTTTCATTGATGCCTCATAGCATATCAGTGGATGATGATCTTAATGATGGTGCAAAGCAAGTAATGGTGAGTCATGTTTTGTAAAACAAACTTGGTGGTGGCATATGCTCAGACTAATCATGTAATATACACTTGACATTCAGGAAAAGATGAAAATTGAGAATGCGGGGCTGTTAGATTTGGAGTCGCTGCAACAATATTCTATTGCAGATCGGGAAGCAGGATTTGAACAAGCTCTTCGAAGTTGCACAACAATATCTCGCAGCGGCCTTGTAAGCGTGAAGTCCAACAGTAGGAAAAAGGAAAAAGTTGGTAAAAACAGCAAAACTGCTGAAAGTAAAAAGAGGAAAAGGAAAAGCAATCTATGAATTGCATCCAATCAAGAAGTTACTGATTGAGTACTTCCATATTTAATAGATTATTACTGAATATACTATTTATACTATTATATAAAGTGTATACGTGATTTGGTATGAACACATTGTCTCATTTTTTTCTATTCCTATATTATTAAAATTTTGTAATTTCTTTCATTTTAACAGCACAACAATTATGGGGTGTGCATACCTAGTTAGTGTTATTTATGTGTAAATGCACATGATATTTAATTGAGTGAAGTTTTCATTCCTCCTGCTCACACAAGTGGTAGCATTTGCTTCAATTGAAGAAGAGACATTTGGGGCATAGGTTCAGTTCTTGTGGTTGAACTTAATGATCGAGACTTGAGCCAGTGTTTGGTTTGCTAGAATTTTAGGCAGGAATGGAATGAATATTCCTTGGCTTCCTAATGGAATGGTCACTACTTAGATTGGTGAATGATATTTTTAATATAGATTTCATTTTTACTCGGCCAAACATGAAAATGGAGTGCAAAATTGCCCCAAGGTGAACAATACACTATTCCATTGGTGGTTGAATGTGGTGGTCTCACATTTACCTTCCCTAAAGAATCAATCACATTGAAGTGTAATGCTCACACTGCAAGAGCGCAAACAAATTTGCACTTTGAAGATTTAAAATTGAAAGAATTACAAATCAATGTAGAAGAGCAAAAGGAGTTACAAATACATGAAGTGCAACTTCACAGATCCCACATTAAAAGTCGTATCACCACCTTTTGGGAAATAGTTTCCCTACTTCTCAGGGTCTTGTAATTTCCCTTCTAAAATTTACCTTCTGACTTGGCAATCAAAACAAGGGCTAATTACATCAATAGTTCTTATAGTTTGGGTCTTGTGTCATTTTGGTCCTTAACTTTTTAATTGTGACACATTTGATCTTAAATTTTGAATCTTGTTCCAAATAAGAACAATTGAAGATATTATTGCTCAATTTCAAGGGTAAAGTTATCAATTTGATAAAAATATAAACTAATTTGATGAAAATAAATATCAATTTTTTTTTTTAATTCTTAAAAATTATTTCTACTCACTAAAGATAAAATTATGTAAAATTAATAAATCTTTTAGACATTTATTTTTTTTCATCAAACTAATTTTTATTTTATGCTTGGGTGGTTGTTTTTACTTTCATTAAATTAGTTTCTATTTTTTCAAAAGTCAAATATGGCGACAACTTTGATATCATTATTAAAGCGATCTATTAAATCAAAAAATTCAAAATTAAAAATATTTCATATATTAAATATATCGATTACACATTAAAGACCTAACAACCCTCCATTACATGATCATTATCCAAACACATAATAAAAATTAATTTGGTAAAAAAAATAAAAATAAATATTACATATTTTATTTTTAGTAGGTAGAAATTATTTTTAAAAATTTAAAAATATTTTTTTGACATTTATTTTTATCAAATTAGTTTATATTTTATCAAATTTTTGCCCTTGAAATTGAATAATGGTATCTTCAATTGTTCTTATTTGGAATAAGATTCAAAATTCATTATCAAATGTGTCACAGTTAAAAAGTCAAGAACCAAAGTGACACGCGCCGCAAACTATAGGGAATGTTAGTGTAATTCACCCTCAAAACAATACATAAACCCATCACCCTTTTTAGGTAGCACAAATAAATGGTGTCTGTAAAGGATTAAACCACAAGCATCAGTTGATTTGAAAATGCCAGTAACCTAGTCAGGCAAATAGCATAAATTGTCGGCGCACTGTCATTTACATGTGATTTTGTAGCTGTTTTTATAATGATCTGCTTGCAACTGCAATCCCAGAATCATACCAAGTCAAGTAGCTCTAACCAGAGTTAAAAAGCCCATATAGGCTGACATTTTAGAATGTTAAAACTTCGATAACAATTAGATTTGAGATTCAGGAAGTGCACAATAACAAGTCATTACTGAGTTCATTTCTTTCACCGGAAGATAATGGAAGTGCACGATAACAAGGGCTAGTGATCAGTTGCATTTAGACTAAGCTTCAGTACCGGATTAATCATAAGGAGATCAATCTTAATCTCTCCAACAATGGAAACAGCTAGCGTTGTAGCAAACAAAGAACAGTGTCATACCTTCTTCTCCCCTTGCAGTCACCTGCATATTTAGTACAACAAACAAAGGGGAAAGTCTACGTATGGGTCAGCCAATCGTCAACCAAACAGGTCTGCCTTGAAGGACAGATTTATCGTGATTCTGCACTGCAAAGCTTACTTATGCGTCATCAACCATTAGGGGATCAACTAGCATGGAAATTTTGTGGAGTGTATGAAGACAGATTTTCCAACCCTCTCAGCTACCCATTTGTAAGAATAGTTGTGCACCCATACATACTTGGGGTAACGATCAATCCTTGCGCTTTTTACCATTGCAAAATACAATGTCTAAGCCAATTGATTAATGACTGCACTTTCTATGTTTTTGCACGGATATTGTGAGACCATGAAAATCCTCGCTATCCAATCGGGATTGTTGGCCGGAGACACTCCGATAGTGAAATTAGTCACTTGATTGACAGAATGAAGGTATAGAAATGAAGAGTATTAGTGTCTAGTGTAGAGAGAGATGACATACCCCCTCTTCTGGAATGCCCCCTTAGGGGTGTGATATTTGTTTGAGTTAGACCCATTGTAGACCTTGTTTGGGTTAACCCCAATAAGCTGATATATATATATATTTTTTTACTCCCACAATTGTCTCAAAACTTTCATTGTCTGCAGTAGAAGGAATGAGAGTTTTGATTGATGAGTTACGCTGTTCAAATAAATGTTAAGCTTCTTGATAAAGAATAAATTTTGGGTATGGAATTGGCAAAATCAGATTGCACAAATGTGTTCAGGAGCCTCCAAATAGTTGGAAACGACTATTTGCTCGTTGTAATCGAACGCATGACGGCATCGTTGTAACCAAAATAGATCGGAGGACTCAGATCAACAGGTTGCAATTCAACCGCGAAGCACATGATAATTTCCTATGTTTGTCATTGCCAACTCTGCTCATCTTCTTCCCTGACAAAAATGGATGAATGTCTGAGCAAACTTCGACCGGCTTGTACGGCTACGTTTGAGCTCCGATTTTGATGGGGTTTGTTGCATTGGACTAGTCTCAATGAGTACTTCACACTGGTATAATCCAAACTTGATTTCGACAAAGTTGAAAATTGCAGTTTGTTGAAAATATGGGTTGTTGTGCACCTATTGGCAAGTGTCGGTTAATTTTTGGCTCCTTCAGTTAGTGGCTTTGGACTCTTTGAGTCGACGCGAATCCTCTGGTATTGTTAGATGTGGGTTTTGGCAAGCTAAGATGCTAGTTCTATGCTGATACCGAGATTAGTGTCGAGGAATATTGTTGTCGAAGCCAAGATATCAGTGCAAAATATTGTTGCCGAGAAGTTAGTGCCAAATAAGTTGCCGATGCTAGATAAAATGCAAAGTTGATATTAATATGCTCTTGATAATATGCCAAATGATATATCGAATTGTAATGGTAATATATCGAATAAGTTGTGAATTAATATGTCGAGTAAGTTTCCGAATAAGCCGAATAAGTTGTTGAAGCCGAGTTGATAACATGCAGAGTTAATATGCAGTTGATATGCAAATAAAAATTGCCGAGTAAGTCAATAAGTTGTCGAAGCTCCTTGTTGATAATATGCGAATAAAAGTTGATAATATGCCGATTAAGTTACCGAATAAGCCAAATAAGTTGCAATAATGTGCCTAATGTTGTGCCGAATAATGGTTACTTTGGCTCAAATTTTGGTTGCCAATAATGTGCCAAATAATGCTAATAGCGGGTATGGTTGTCGAAACAACATAGATACAAATCTTAAATTATTAAGGAAAGACGTGAGCTATCTGTTTCTTTTAGTTGGAGAGCCACAAAACGTAATTCCTTAATTCACTAACATGTATATCTAGCAATTTTAAAATAAACTCCTGTGAAAAAATAAATAAATAAACAAACAATTCTAGAAGTGGGTTCGGCCGAGCAACTGTTTGTATGATGCCAAAAAGAAGCTCTTACAAACAAAAGTGTGAAACTCAGTTTGAGAGAGAGAAAGTGAAACTGTTCAAGTAGATTTAGGAGCACTGCTTTGTAAATGATTGATTAATTAAAAATGTATCTAAATGTATAAAAAATCTATAATTGGGGCAAAAATTGATTAAGAATATGCATACATACTCGGCCATAAAACGACCTTGTTTAAACAACTTCGTAAAGGATCTTGGGGAATAAAGCAGCTGTTTAAAGCAGAAAAAGGCTATAAAATGGCTTTGTATACATACATAGTCGACTATCAACCATTAATCATTTATTGATCAACAATACTTTGTGGTACGTCATTCATACACCTGAATGGCTTTATTGATCAAGAATACTTTCTTTTTTGGTTGTAGCAGGCAAAAATTGATATTCAAACAACAACCCACCACAACTGGTATCATAGATACTATATGTACAAAATCAAGTTGAATCAAAATAAAAGTAAGAGACCTAGCTGTGGGCCATATTACTTGGGATTGATTTTGATTTTGTAGAAAGTACACTAACCTCAATTCAACTATGTTAGCAGATATTTTAATATTATAATGTGTTATAGATTATATTGTGTGCTTGTTCTCTAAGCTACCTTTCTTTCCCTCTAAGTTTTCTTTTCTTTCTCTCCAAGTCTTTGCCTCTAAGTCCAATCTTTTCTTTCTCTCCAAGTCTTTGCCTCTAAGTCAAGTCTTTTTCTTTCTCTCCAAGTATCCTTGCCTATAAATTGAGTCTTTCACCTCTCTTATTTGTAGCTCAAAAAAAAAAAAAAAAAAAAACTCAAGTGAGAGAGAAATCTGGAGTTTAAAAAAAAAAAAAAAGTATTTGCTAATTTCTTATTTGAGAAGTTTTCAAACAAAGTAATAAAGGGTTATGTGATGAAGCTTTGGGTTCAACCAATTGTGCAATATTGGTGAACCATATGACTTAGTCGGACTGCTGTATCCTGGGGAGGACAAGTCAAGGTTTTTTCTGTTGCACTGGTATGAGGCTTTGCATAACCACAGAGGGCTTGAATCTCCTTAAAGAGAGCGAATTTCCCATGCCTCAGACCTTTCAATAGTTATTGAAATTTTTATTATTTGTATTTTTTAGTGTTTTATTTGTAATTATCACCAACAATTTTAAGGAGATTCAAACAGTAAAATTTATGAAGCCAGTATTGGAGATGCCCAACGAG